CTCCAACACAGGACCAACAACAGGTCCAACAACAGGTCCAACACAGGGCCAACAACTGATCCAACAACAGATTCAACAAAACATCCAACAACAGCTCCAACACAGGACCAACAACAGGTCCAACAACAGGTCCAACACAGGGCCAACAACTGATCCAACAACAGATTCAACAAAACATCCAACAACAGGTCCAACACAGGGCCAACAACAGGTCCAACACAGGTCCAACACAGGGCCAAAAACAGGTCCAACACAGGGCCAACAACAGGTCCAACACAGGGCCAACAACAGGTCCAACACAGGTCCAACAACAGGTCCAAAACAGGTCCAACAACAGGTCCAAAACAGGGCAAACAAAACATCCACCAACAGGTCCAAACAACAGGTCCAACAACAGGCCTTCCTCAGAACATCGTATTAGTGTACATTTGAAGAAAACAATGGGGCCCTAGTACACTGTTGTATCAAAAAATCATCACAACAGGTTTAGATCAAAATCAGAATTGCCTTTATTGTCATTGTACAGAGAACAATGAAATACAGTTTGGAACAACCCATCCAAGAGGGAGACAAACACAAACAAACAACCCTTCAAGGCCGGCATGTGGGAGCCAAATTCAGATAATCACGATTGTTTTGGAACAGGCTGACTTGATTTTCTGTCAGCCTTAGAGTCTCACTGGGACCTCTCAATGGCAAAATTCCAATCAACTGAATTTCTTTGGTCCTTCTCTCCTCACCGAGCGTACAACTTCTCTATGATCTATACAGTCCTGCCAGAGAGCGGAACCACAACTGGCCTGTGATCCTCAGCAATGATCGTCTCCAGTTTGCAWTTCTGCTCCAAAAGCGTCAGAGTCTGAGTGTTGACAGCTCAGMATATTCCCCTACACAGGCCGGGCACCCTCATCATGGCCCAAATGGCTCCCAACACTTTCCGAGTTTTAGGATAGGCCAGGTATTCACCAGATCCAATGAGCAGAGATCCTGCTATCAATGATCCAAACATGTAAACATCTTCAACATCCTGAACCGACAGTACAGACAGAGCATTATCTTCCACTTCCCCCAGGAATCCATCACATGCCCGGCAGCTGATCCCATCGGGACAAGAAGGGCTCTCGTTTGCCCTGTCTCCTTGTGGAGAAAATTTGATCAATAGTGTTGAGAGACCAGCTGACCAGATCCATAATTTCCAATTTGGAAGGTGTGCAAGACAGGCTCTGAAAGCAGCACAGCAGGATAAATAAGGAACAGTTGAAGTGAGAGAGAGGAAATGTCTGCCTCCGCTGAGAGTAGAAAAAATATTTTAATCAGAAGAACTCAAACATGTTGGTTAAAGGTTTTTGTTACCTAGTGGGGACAAGTTTTGACCATGTTCCTGGTACACACAGTCTAATGAGGACCCACTGTTCCTCATGGGGACAAAGGTCCAGTCCCYATCAGGGGAAAGACGGTTGGTGGGTAAGGGGTCAGGGTTAGGCTGTAGAAATAACAGGTGAATTAAAGTCCCCATGAGGATAGAAGAACAAACATGTGTGTGTGTGTATAGGGACTGCGGTGGTCAGTGCTACAGTCTTGTAATCTCAAAGCTGCTGATTCAAACCCAAATCTTACCCTAAACCTAACCTCTAAAGACTCTATTCACAMGTTAGTCCTAACCCCTGATCCATCAACGGTATTTACCCCGATGGGGGCCGAGCTTTTGTCCCCGTAAGGAAAAACAGGTACACTCTCACACATACAGTATATATAATCTTCCTGAACTCTGAGTTCAGCAGTTTTTGAGTCCACATAATAAAAAAACTGATGAGGAGGAGCTACAGAGGATGAAGAGGAGAGAATCTTCCTCTTGCCGTAGCTGCTCTCAGGTCTGCAGCACATTCATTCTGATTATCCTGAGCAGGAGGCTGTGCTGACAACAGCCAGATCCTGCTGCTGCTGCTGCAGAACACAGAACCAGACCTGCTAACAGACGTAAACGAATCAAACACTGGAAAAATATRAAGTTGGCAATAAATGACAACTGAGTTCATTTAGGAAAATGACATTACATCACATGAAATCTCAGTCAAAGTGAGTCTAGTTTCTACGTTGGGTGTAATTTGTCCGGTCTTTCTGTGTAAARTTTGCTTGTTCTTYWTGTGCTTGGGTGGGTTTTCTCTGTTCTTCAGTGKCTTACAGACCAAAAACATGCATGTTAGGTTAACTGGTGAGTATAAGTTGACTCTAGGTGTGAGTTGAAATGGAAAAAGAAAATTCAATTCAGTTGACAATAAAACCTGTTAATAGAAAAGATTTGTTAAAAATTGACCACCAGGGGGCGACAGTCACCTGATTGTTGACGTCTGTGCTGCTGTCTTCTTCTAGGCCTCATCAAAACACTTGCACCGAAGCACAAAAACATTTAATTATAGTTTTGTTTAATGTGAATAATTAAAATAAATAAATAAATAAATAATTAAAAATTTAGGATGCAGAAGAAATAAAAACATGGGCKTCAAAGAAAGCTAAAACAATAATGATAAGAACACATTCAGCAGTTTATTTTTGTGAGGTTTCTTATTTGATGAACAKAAATTTATTAAAACCACATTTTATTGTCATGCCAAACCCATTGTTCAAATTATCTGATTTTTTTTGCTTTATTTGAACAATTTTCCCACTGATGTGTGAAACGTTAAAC